CACAACTATCCTGGGTCCATCCAGTCTCTTGCTTTTTGGGTGCTAAGAACGAAGAATAGCTGAGGCTTAAGTCTCATAAATATGAAAATGCCCAGGAGTGTATAATATCTGGAGTCAAATAACTCTGAAGTTACAAAAGCATAACATTGTCTTCCTTTGTCCCTACAAAGCTGAGGGCTGGGGGCATGGCCATCCCGATCCTGCCAGCACAATCTTCCCAACTGGGACTGCACTGGTCCTTGTCCAGGAGCAAAAAGGATATTTGTCTAAAGTAAACTGCAGAGGACATTAAGGAAATAGAAAGTCAAAATTTGACTCACAAATACAAAATCCAGAGATCTCTGAAGAATTTGACTTTACAATTCACAGTTTCTGGTTAGGGGAAATGGGTGATTAATGCATAGGAGAAGCAGAGCACCTAAGGAAATGGGAGTGATTCGGGAGCATTGGTATGGGTGTTACTCAGTAAGCCTAAACTCCTTGTAGCAGAAGAGAAATGATGGACCAATGATAAACCTAAATTGTTTAGAACTCTAATCCAACAAAGGTAAAGGGTTTTGTTTTTTAAACATCTTGCTATCTTAGTTTTGGTTTTTCAGGAGTAAGGACATTTGCTCAGGGTTCAGCTTGGCTGTGCTAGGAGCACATTTACTTAGGGCCAGAGACATAGTACAGTGAGTAAGGATTTAACCATCCAAGCAGTCGACCCAGGTTCCACCCCTGCATCCATATATTCTGTACCAGAGTGATTCCTGAGTGTAAAGCTAAGAGTAAGCCCTGAATATGCCGTTTGTGGCCCCCAAACAAAAATCACACAAAGACACACTTGTATATACACACATATATGCACATACAATTAAGAAAGATGCAAAATGGAGAAAGAACAATAGAGTTTCGGTAGCAGGGAAAGATCAAGAATAGGGAATTTTTAAGGACCAGAAATTTGACTCTTTAAATGTTTCACTCTAGAATTTGTCATTGCACATTATTTCCCCCCCCCTTCGGTAGAATTTGCCTTTTTTTGTTCTTATATTTTTTGCCATAGCATACAGTACTCAGTGTTTACTCTTGTGTCTGAGCTGAGGGATCATTTGCAAGAGTCAGGGTAACATTGTGTGTCTAGATATCTTTGGTTCAATGTTTGGTGACAACTGCAGGATCAGGGGACTTCTCCTTACCCCCGGGACCCATAGTGTGTGACCGACCACTCCAGCATTTGCCTCTCCATGCCTTTTTTTGAGTCCATCCCCCTTGCAGTACGGATTCACCTAGGAGGCAAAATGGTTCTCAGTGCCTAGACTCTGGCTCTTTAAGGCACCTTATGGAAATAAAAGTGATGTCATAAGTAATGTCATAGTTCATTTTCCATCCCTGACACTGACACTGGGGCTGTTGTGTACTTGCCAAAGGACAAGTAAATTTGCGCTCTATCCTTAAAGAGGGATTCTGAAGGCGGGTTTTGTGGCAGGATTCAAGCAGCCTCCTGTGAGCACCCCGCGCCTTCCCATTTCCACACTCTGAGCTGAGGGGCCGAGCCAGCTTTGGGGGGTACTTTTGCCCTAGTTTTTCACTTGTTCTCTGAAATCCAGGTGTATTCTGAGGTGCGGTGGAGGCTTTAGGGGGATGCGGAGCTTTGGGGGTGCAGTGGAGGCTGTCTCAGGGTTCAGGGGTGGCAGCTGTGAGGGTGTGATCCCGGGGGGCCTCTTTGGCCACGATCGTCTCCAGCTCCAGGATGGGGCAATAGTGGGTGAATGCGAGAATCAGTCGGGTCTTGGCCGTACCAATCCTCCCAGCAGTCCCATGTTTGAACCATCGGCCCTAACCTAGCTTCTTTAGAATCTCCAGATTTGAGGGGCAGAGCTTCAGCCTCTCCACTTCATGGCAGGAGATATTTTGCTGGTCATCTTCATTGTCTGCCGTTTTAGCCAGGGTTATGTGGGGTATGTGGGGGGGAAGGGGACCTGCAGGTGGCTGAGGTTTGCCAATGAAAACGTATTTGGGGGGCTATTTTTGATTCTTTTTATTTTGGGGGGAGTGGGAACACACCCGGAGATGCTTCTGACTTACTCTAGCCTCTAAGCTAAGGAATTATCCCTGGAACTGCTGGGGGCCATATGGGATGCAGAGGATTGATCGGTTCATCTGGTCCAACACCCAAGTCACATTACTGCCTGTCCAACAATACTGGTGTATCTTTTTCCGGGTCATGAATTTCAGGTACTTCACATCAAGCTGTAAGGCAGACCTGACTCTTCATCTTTCCTTGAGCAGACAACCACTGGAATCCGGGTAAATATTGAGGGTAAAGTTTTTTTTTTTTTTTGCTTTTTGGGTTATACCTGGCGATGCACAGGGGTTACTCCTGGTTTCGTACTCAGGAATTACTCCTGGAGGTGCTCAGGGGACCATATGGGATGCTAGGAGTCGAACCTGGGTCGGCTTCATGCAAGGCAAACACCCTACCCGCTGTGCTATCACTCCAGCTCCAAAGGGCTTTTTAATGTTTATTTTTTAAAGAATATTTTTGTGTGTGCGGGGAGGGGGAAGAGCTGTGTTCATGACTCACTCCTAGTATTTTTGGAAGAAATTTATATAGGAAGGGGCGGAGCAAAAGTACAGCAAGTAGGGTGATTGCCTTACACACAGCCAACCCACGTTCTGTGTCTTGAATCCCACTGGTCCCCACACCTGCTGGGAGTGAAACCTGAGTGCAGAGCTAGGAATACTCCCTGAGCAATGCTGGTTCTGACTCAAAGAAGAAAATCATGCACACGCACCCGCACAGACACATACACATGCACACAGAAAACGTGTGATCGTAGAAAAAGAGAATAATAATTCATGGAAAACCATACCAGACAATCAAAGTTTTAAGGACCTGCTATTTGTCTATTTAAATGTTCTTCCCTCTTATTTTGCACATGAATTCTGTTGGTTTCTTGTGCTTCGAATTTGCCTTTTTGTTGCAGTATTTTTGGTCATAATCTACAGTGCTCAGGTCTTAACTCCTGACAGTTCATATTATGGTCCCTAGTAAATGCACTGGTTATTTGAATTATTTTTCTATTGAACCATTTGCGCAGTTTTCTAATATATTCTTGGACGGCAGGAGCAAGTGTTGGCTGAGGCTCACGCAGATGTTCCGTTTCAGGGATAGAGTAAATCAGGACCCATAAGGTCTCAGATCCAGCGCGAGAGAGCAGGGCTGTGCCTCTGACCCAACTGTACCCAGAAGTGATCTTGGTCCCCGGGACAGAGTGCCCAGGCGCATGTTCTTGTCCCTGCTGCAGGAGAGTGGCTGAAGCTTTGTCCACAATATGTCCCTGTGACTTTCCCCATGGCAGAGCCACATCCAGGCTATAGTTCCCAGGGGCCAGCACTGCTGCCAGCTGCAGGGGCGCCAGTACTTGGGAGCACCGGGACTCAGAGTCAGACCGAGGCTGGGCCTGTAGGGATTTTCCTGTGCAATTCAGGGAGGAATTCGGGGACCAGAGAGGGCCGTCGTTTCCTCTCCTATTGCCTGGGCCCAGGATCCTATCCTGAAGTGCAGCACAGATGCCAACAAAATTTGCATCCCCAGCGGAGACAGGAGCTTCTGTCATTGTCTCCCTGAGGTGCGATTATGAGGGTGTGGCTGGTCTGAGATCAGGGGTGGGAGGAGGTGCTGCTCTCTGGTGCTCACTGTTCTGACTTCTTCATGTCTTTGCACAGAGCCTCCTGCTAATTCTCAGCACAACAGTGGCAGGAGAAGATGGTGATGCGGCTTCTGATAAACCGTCCAAAGGTAGGAATAGAGGGACAGAATGGCATGAGGTAGTGCCAGGAGTGCCCGGGCTTCCTGGGCGATCTGTTTTGAGTTTCTTTTGGATGGATTCCAAGATGAGACTTCCGATCAGACCACGCCATATTTGGCTGTGGGACCGACCCAGCGGTGCATGAGGAATACTCAAAGCTCAGTGCTCAATGATCACTCCTGACATGTCTAGGAAACCAATGGGATGCTGGAGGTCCAAAGATTTTGTCTTGAATTTTCTGTTTTATTTGGGAGTGATAGCACAGCGGTAGGGTGTTTGCCTTGCACGCAGCCAACATGGCCGACCTGAGTTCGATTCCTCCGCCCCTCTCGGAGAGCCCGGCAAGCTACCGAGAGTATCTCGCCCGCACGGCAGAGCCTGGTAAGCTCCCTGTGACGTATTCGATATGCCAAACACAGTAATAACAGTCTCCAATGGAGACATTACTGGGCCCGCTCGAGCAAATCGATGATCAACAATTTGGGGTGCAGAGCAAAGGATTCTCACAATAAATCCTTGTGCTGCACTCTGGCATTGCCCCTGGCAGTGCTTGTGGGACCATATGGGATGGTGGGGATCGCCAGTCCTACACGCTGTTCCCGGAGCAGCTGTCCTGTTACGCCAACCTGCTGCTTCATTTTCTTTTGCATTGTTTTTGTACTCAGCCATCCTCTTTACTCTGTTCTCTGGATTCACAACTGATGGGCATCAGAATGCCCTGGGGTGTGCTGGCCACATTTGTGTACTGTCAACTACAGTGACCTGGACCCCAGGACTTATTTTTCCCCTGTTTTGTCCTTCCTGCTCTGGAGAGCCTTGCCTTCTCAGTCATACAGTCTTATATTCACATAAAGTTATGTGTGGATTTCTGGGCAAGCGCTGATCCCAAGGAGAAAGAGCCAAGGATCTCTGAGGCCAGTAGAGATGTTGGGGTGAAGAACCTTCTCCTTCTTTGCAAGGGATTTGGGGCGGTCTTGAGCAGTGTGTTCTTACAGGCACACATGCCATGCACCACTCTGAGTAGTTGTCTATATGAACTGTAGTTCTTAGTCCTAGTAGTCATGAGCTGTGGGGGTGCAGTGGTGAGCGTGCAGTCGTTTTTGCTGCACCCAGGGATGGTCTTTTGGATCGTGCAAGTCTGCGGTCAGGTGATCCTCTCTACAGTGCTCACTGGACCAGTGGTGCTCGAATTGGACATTGGGTTACCAGGAAAGGCAGATATATCCAAGAACTTTCTGTATAAAATCCTCCCACTTTCACAGATCTAGCTGCCTTATGTGATTTCTGGGGCCCGTCAGCCATGCGTCTGCATGGAGGTTGGTTCATTCGAAGGGGAGAGGACTAGCGGCAATATAGGACCCTGGGTCCTGGCCTCACAGTAGTGGGAATGAGACTAAGGTAGACTCTAACTGCCACCCTCCCTGTGTGCTGACTCAGGACGCAGTGACCTTCCACGACGTGGCTGTGAACTTCACCCCCGAGGAATGGTCATGCCTGGCGGCCTCTCAGCAGAAGCTCTACAGGGACGTGATGCTGGAGACCTACCAGCATCTGCAGGCTGTAGGTGAGAGCAGTGTGGAGCCAACCCTGTCTGGACAGACCTGCTTGGGCTCCCTGGGTTTGGGCCGCATCTGTGTGTCCAACAGTAGCTGTGACTGACGGGCTGGTATGTTGAACAGCCATGAGGTGTTTGTTCCCTCCCTGGTTTTTTTTAGGGTTCACCTGTGGATACTCAGGGCTTACTCTCAGCTCTGTCCTTAGGAATTAGTCTTGTGGAGTAGCAGGACCCTGTGGGGTGATTCAGATCAACCCGTTTCGACTGTGTAGGTGGGAATATCCCTATCTGCCCAGTTATCGCTCAGGTCCCTTTAAATAGTTCCATCCATTGGTGAATCAATTTGCTTTGTGTACTACACAAACTTCCGTGTGTTTAATTCGCTTTGCTGTTGCCTTTGTTTAGGGAGCACAGTCCACAGTTCTCCTGGCTCTGTGCTAAACGATGACTCCTAAGAGTGCTCAGAAACCAGGATACCATGGACTGAAACATCTTGGCAATTTAAAACATTGGTGCATGACTCCCAATATTTTTGCACCAGGCACTCAAATCAGACGGTTTTTACTTTCTCTTTTTTCCTTAGGTATTAGGAAAAAAGAATCAGGATTACGGCCTGATTCTTTTAATTATTACATTCACATAATAGTAATAATAATTATTATTATAGTAATTATTATAGTAATTATAATAGTAATAATAATTATTATTATGTAATAATAATAATTATTATTATGTAATAATAATAATAACGTAACGGCCAGGATCCAGAGATTATCAAACCCTTTACGACATCTTATCTTCTCATTCCTACTTTGGACAAACTGGCAGGCTACCGAATGTAACCTGCCCACATGGCAGAGTCTGGCAAACTCCCCGTGGATTACCCAATATGCCAAATACCAATAATATTGAAGGGTCTCATTCTCCTAATTCTGAAAGAGCCTTGAATATGGGACTTGTTTTTTAAATCTCAGGGCTAGGACGAAGGAGACGTTACTGGGGCCTGCTTGAGGCAATCGACGAATAACAGGATGGTTGTGATTGTGATTGTGATTAGGGATTATTCCTGCCTGAGAATTCAGGATCTACACCTGGCCTTGCTCCAAGACCTTATGGGCTGCCTGTGATCAAACCCACATGTGTGTGCAGCACTTCTGTCCTATGTGCTGTACTATCTCTCCCACCACTGGGGCTTTGATATCTCTTCTCTCAACTCATCTGACACTGCCGTATTTCAGTGCTTGGAGATACTTCTAATGGTTCTTGTGAGACTTCAGCAGGACTCAGGCTTTGCTCCTGGTCTCTGAACTCAGGGATCACTCCTAGCTGGCGTGAGGGACCCTAGGGGATGTCAGGTGTTGCAACTGGATTGGCTGTGAGAAACTCCTGCTGTGCTCTCTTTCTGGATACATTTTTAGATTAACAAAATAAGGGTCTCTTGCCACCTTTGGCCATTTCCAGATTTATTAAGCACTTAGTTTTACTGAAATTCTTGATGAGTTCATTAGGGGCTCAGGAAACTCCATGTGGTGTTAGGCCTAGACAGACAGTATGGTTAGGAAAGTGACTTTCTTGCAAGCAATGCACCTGGGTTAAATCCCCGGCATCCCATGTCATCCCCAAGCACCAGCAGTGCTGATTTCAGAATACAGAGTCAGGAGTCGTCCTTGAGCATTGCCAGGTTAGACCCCAAACAAGACAAAAACCAACAACATACTGTGCTGATCAACACCCTGTCGGCCATACACAAGGCCTGGTCTATTGTATTTGTGGTATTTTCTTGGGTCTTACCTCTCGAATAACTAGAAATATGTGGCAATTTGGAAATGGACATTGTGTTCATGCCTTTATATCAGGAAACACGGGAATTTACCTGTCACCTTTTCCTTGTCACTTATCCATGCCTCTGTCTCTGTTGTGGCAGGGCACACTGGGATGAAGCCTGCGGTGATCTCCTGGCTGGAAGGAGGAGCCCTGAGATCAGGGAGGAGAGACTTGTGTTTAGGTGAGTGTCTGAGGACCCTTCCTGGCTCAGGCCCTGTGCAGTGTATGGGTGCCCTGAGCATGTATGAAACACGCTGCTGAGGCTGGGGCCTTGGGCTCCTGGATCCATGGGTCTGTGCCACACTCACACTCCTCTTCATTCCCATCGTATGTCTGTCCAGAATGACTCTGTAAGTTGCTTCCATGGCTTTCGAATAAGTAAGACCATAACAGAGCTAGTTTGGATCTGAACGATAGTACAGCAGGGAGTGCCTTGCAGTGCCTGAAAGTGACCTGTTCAATAACCTGGTTCCCCGAACATCACCAGGTCTGCTCAAAAACTAAAACAAAACCTAGTGTTGAATTGCAAAGATCCTTACCGTTTTCCACTAACCTAATCTGTTCTTTAGTGTAGGATTTTATGGACTTTGAATACCACAGAGATGTACTCCAACTACATGGCATCATTTTGCTACATTTTTGACAATTGCTTTAACTGCATGTTGTGTTCAGTTTCAGAGCTGAAACCACGGATTCAAGATTTGGCATTACAGCACTTTGATTTGGGAATGGGGTCTGCAAGTACGAGTGAGTTGGTAAGATTTTTAATTCGGAATAAATTATTATGCCAGGGGGAGTGGACCAAATATGTGATTGTTAGGGTGGAGGGCTGTGAATGGCAGGGAGGAATTCCAAAGCCTGATGCTTGGGGTAGAGGACCCTTAGCTTTACTAGGTGCTGAAATCAACCATGTATAAAAATGCTGTGAGTTTTCATTTGCTTGACAGTTATAGTCATTTAAAAAGCTAATTTGTGGGCCCTGGAGATAATGCAGTGAGAAATATACTTGCTTTGCACAGGGATGGATGATCCTTACCCAGCACTCCTTATAGACACCGTAGACACACAGAACTGATCCTAGATACCGCATGGTGTGCCCCTCCGCCCACCCAACCCCCAATAAATAGAAACTACAAAACATGAAGAACAAAAAACTTTGTTGATCCTGAAAGCAATCACTTGTGGTGAGAGTTTTGCAATAGCCACGTGGTCTGTCTCAGCTGTGTGAGGATGCAGCGTTATCTTCACCCTTTCATCACAGGTTCCACTCTGAGCTTTAATCAAACCCACTGTGGTTGTATTTCATTTTCTCTTGAAATGGATGCATCAGTTTTCTATAGAAGGAATTATTTCCAGTTGTATTCCTTCATTAAGTTAAAGGTGGGGGGAAGTCACAGAATTTTATGAATCTGCTTCCATCAATTTTGTGCGTCGAACTTACATTTACACGAAGTTATTCTATAATAAGACAATCCTTACGTAGGTAATTACATTTGTGTGGTGCATATGTTAGAAACCTCACCTGGGGCTGGAGCAATACCACAGCGGGCAGGGCATTTGCCTTGCACGCGGCCAACCCGGGTTTGATTCCCTGCATCCCATATGGTCCCCTGAGCACTGCCAGGAGTAACTCCTTAGTGCAGAGCCAGGAGTAACCCCTGTGCATCACCTGGTGTGACCCCCCAAAAAGAAACCACATCCGAAGGCTCAGTTTTTTGACAGGAAGACTCGGTGAATAAGTTAATAATTGGAATCCTTCTCTGCTATTCCTACAGGGAAGCAACCAACCCAAGTGGGATATCTCTGATTCTGCACTCTATGGCAATATCTCTAGTGAGCAATCCTGCATTCAACCCCATGAGGATGCCAAGACGTGTGGGATGTCTTCTGAGGGTGATCAGAATGGCGAGAGCTACCTCACTCTGAAGAAGCCCTCCCTTGGAAAAAGTTCCTTGGAGTGTGGTGTTCTCAGTTCACAGTCACAAAATCCCCCAGTTTGGATGCCACTAGGGAAAGAAGCACTGTTTATAGTGAGTCCCTCACAGCGACAAACTCTCAATCACAGTCACTGTGAACAGAACCCATCTAAGTGTAAGGAATGTGGCGGAGCCTCCCCATGTTCTCAGCACTGTGGTATTCCCTTAGAAAACTACAGTGGACAGCATCCCCGGAAAAGTGAGCACCGAGAACAAAGCGTGAATCAAGGGTTACTCCATCATGACCATATGAATATAAATTCAGGAGTGAAACCTTATGCGTGTGAAGCATGTGGGAAGACCTTCAATAAATCATCACATCTTTTTAGACATAGGAGAATTCATATAGGAGAGAAATCTCATAAATGTCAGACATGTGGGAAGGCCTTTATACAGCCCTCAGATCTTAATAGACATATGAAAACGCATAGTGGAAAGAAGCCTTATATATGTCAGACATGTGGGAAGGCCTTTAATCGGCCCTCAGATCTTAATAGACATATGAATATTCATAGTGGAGAGAAACCTCATAAATGTCAGACCTGTGGGAAGGCCTTTATTCACACCTCGTCTCTTTATAGACATAAGAATACGCATAGTGGAAAGAAGACTTATATATGTCAGGAGTGTGGAAAGGCCTTTGCTGGAGCCTCAAAACTTACTGTACATCGGAGAATTCACACTGGAGAGAAACCCTATATATGTAAGGAATGTGGAAAGGCCTTTGCTGCAGCCTCAAGACTTACTGTACATAGGAGAATTCACACTGGAGAGAAACCGTATATATGTAAGGAATGTGGGAAGGCCTTTGCTAAAGCCTCAAGACTTACTGTACATAGGAGAATTCACACTGGAGAGAAACCATATATATGTAAGGAATGTGGGAAGGCCTTTGCTGCAGCCTCAAGACTTACTGTACATAGGAGAATTCACACTGGAGAGAAACCGTATATATGTAAGGAATGTGGGAAGGCCTTTGCTAAAGCCTCAAGACTTAGTGAACATAGGAGAATTCACACTGGAGAGAAACGCTATATATGTAAGGAATGTGGAAAGGCCTTTGCTGCAGCCTCAAGACTTACTGTACATAGGAGAATTCACTCTGGAGAGAAACCGTATATATGTAAGGAATGTGGGAAGGCCTTTGCTAAAGCCTCAAGACTTACTGTACATAGGAGAATTCACACTGGAGAGAAACCGTATATATGTAAGGAATGTGGGAAGGCCTTTGCTACATCCTCAGAACTTACTGTACATAGGAAAATTCACACTGGAGAGAAACCATATATATGTAAGGAATGTGGAAAGGCCTTTGCTGCAGCCTCAAACCTTACTGTACATAGGAGAATTCACACTGGAGAGAAACCGTATATATGTAAGGAATGTGGGAAGGCCTTTACTGCTGCCTCAAGACTTACTGTACATAGGAGAATTCACACTGGAGAGAAACCGTATATATGTAAGGAATGTGGGAAGGCCTTTGCTAAAGCCTCAAGACTTACTGTACATAGGAGAATTCACACTGGAGAGAAACCCTATATATGTAAGGAATGTGGGAAGGCCTTTGCTGCATCCTCAGAACTTACTGTACATAGGAAAATTCACACTGGAGAGAAACCGTATATATGTAAGGAATGTGGGAAGGCCTTTGCTGCAGCCTCAAGACTTATTGTACATAGGAGAATTCACACTGGAGAGAAACCGTATATATGTAAGGAATGTGGGAAGGCCTTTACTGCAGCCTCAAGACTTACTGTACATAGGAGAATTCACACTGGAGAGAAACCGTATATATGTAAGGAATGTGGGAAGGCCTTTTCTGAAGCCTCAAGACTTACTGTACATAGGAGAATTCACACTGGAGAGAAACCGCATATATGTAAGGAATGTGGGAAGGCCTTTGCTAAAGCCTCAAGACTTAGTGAACATAGGAGAATTCACACTGGAGAGAAACCCTATATCTGCAAAGAATGTGGGAAGGCCTTCTGTCAATCTCAGTACCTTCGGAAACATAGCAGAATTCACAGTGGAGAGAAATCTCATCAGTGTCAGATATGTGGAATGGCATTCACGTTGTCCTCTTCCCTTACTATACACATGGTAATTCATACTTGAGAGAAGCCTTATATATGTGTGGAGTGTGGAAACACCTTTACTACATCCTCGCAATTGACTGTACATAGGAGAATTCACACTGGAGAGAAACTTTATATGTAAGGAATGTGGGAAGGCCTTTGCTGTGACCTCAATAATTAATGTATATAGTAGAATTCACATTGGATAGAAACCATATATATGTAAGGAATGTGGAAAGGCCTTTGCTGGAGCCTCAGACTTATTGAACATAGGTGCATTCACGCTGAAGAAACACTGCTTGAGCACCCTGCTGCTCCTAGTTTGGGAACTTGAGCGGCAGGACATGCCAGCTTGTAGGGCGTTTTTGTGCTTGTTTTTTCAAAACTTGTTCTGCATATCTAGGTATTAGGGAATGTGGAGCTTCTGAGCCACATTGGGGGCTGTTCTGTGGTGGAGGTGTCATGGGTGAGGGTGCGTTATGCTGAGGGTCCCTGCAGCCAAGATCACATCCAGGTCGAAGATGGCACATGAACTTTGGGCCTTGGTGTGAGGGACCTGGAGAGAGTGGTGGTCTTGGCCATCTCATACCTCCCTACTCGGGACAGCGCAGGACCCTTTTTGGAGCCTTTCGACTGGAGATAACACTTATCAAACCTCCAGATATGTTCACGGGAAGCCCCGAAAGGAAAGGGACACTTTTGTGGTCCGTCATTTTTATTGGCTCCTTTGCCGGGGTTGGGACTTTGGGGTGTGTCTGCACAAGTGAGAGGGTTTTGCCTCTGAAAATTTACTGTTTGTATTATTTATTTATTTTCTTTTCTGCTTTTTGAGTTACAACCAGCGATGCACATGGGGTTACTCCTGGCTTATGCACTCAGGAATTACTCCTGGCAGTGCTCAGGCGAACATATTGTTGCCAGGATTCGAACCCGGGTTTTTCCCGTGCAAGGCAAACATCCTACCTGCTCTGCTATCAATGCTGCTTAATGGCTATGATCCCAAAGATTCAGAGACAGATCTCAAAACCCAGCGGCTCTTGGCAGAAATGAGTCTGGACCCTGCAGTAGGTTACTAACCCCGGCCCACCCCAGAGGGAAGTGGTGCTGTCCCTCCACCTGCTCCCCCTTGCAGCTCGCTGGCCACCATCCTCCAGAGGCAATTGGAAAGTCACATTTGGGCCCGCAGTGATGAGATATGTGGAGCTTCACAGGATGGGGGGATGGGGGTGGAGGTGGCCCTTTCCTCCACGACCCAACAATAGCTTAGATCATGCCCACGAACCGCCTCTCTGGCTCCTGATAAAGCTGCTTAATGGCCATGATCCCAGAGAGTCAGGAGAAAATCTGGAACTCAGCAGGTATTGGGAGAAATCCCTCCATATTATTAAAATTTCAAAATTACAAAATCATGTTTATAACCAGCAGTACAAAACAAATTGTCTACTGTTGCCTTTTTGGACTATCTGAGTGCTGGGGTTAAATCCCAAATATAATAATGGTGGGTCTGGTGTCAAAATATTGAATGTAATCAAAGTAGAGAGAAATGTAGAAATCATCTGCCCCAACAGTTAGGGGGAGGGTGTAGAATGGGGGTATACTTGGGGTTTTGGTGGTGGAAAATTGGCACAGTAAAGGGACTGGTGCTTCATTGTATGAATGAGATTTAAACCCAAAAGCTTTGTAACTTCACTCAGGGCGATTCAAAAAATAAAATTATCAAAAAAAGGGGGGAAAGTACGGTGGAGTTGATGCCCATTTCAGTCAGCCTAATCAATAGCCGAATAAACAACAATACTGCAAATAATTTTTTCTACTTCCACATGTCCAATTGCAAACAATCCCTTTCTCTTCATCTCTCCCTGACCAGAACATCAGGAAAACTGGCTCTTGGGGGTGGCTACATCAGTATACTTGTTGTTTTATCTTTTCCTGAAAGGGAGATATTTCAGTATGGGGAAGGGGAGTTTTTCTCAGGGGTCACTGCTGGTGTGCTGGGAAAAAATTTATTTAGAAATGGCCAGAGCAATAGTACAGCAAGTAGGGTACTTGCTTGCATGTGGCCAACCCAGGAGTTCTCCAGTCCACAACACCTTTGAGTTGCTCACTGGACATTGAGTGTCCCCTTCTCATCCCTAGAACAGTTGATGTGACGATATGGCGTGGGGGAGGAGTGTCTAGAGTTTTGGTCCAACCCAGTGTTGCTTTCTTTTGGTCCTGCTGGGTCAGTGCTTAGGTGTTACTCACAGGAGCATTGTTCATTGGGTTTGTCTCTGGGATGACTGCGTGCAAGTCCATCAGCTTCTAATATAGTTCCATTGTGGTATATCAGGATTCCATCCAGTGACTACTGGGGCCCGTCACCCTAAAGTGTTGGTGGAGGCCGGTTCCTCCCTTCTGGAGTGGGGAGAAGGGAGATCCCTGAGAACCCCTAGGGTGCTGCAGTGTCTCATCCTCAGGCCCATTGTGTGGATTGGGATAGCCTCCTCCTATCCTAGTGTGTGCTGGTTCGAAATGTGGTTACCTCTGTCAATATGGCAGTGAGTTTCACCCCAGAGGGATGAACATACCTGATTGCCTCTCAGAGGAATCTCTAAAGGGACATTATGCTGGAGTCAGAAGAGGAACAAAGATATGGAGAACCACTGACTGATGGTCAGAATGGCTTGTTTAATGTAAAGCTTTTAGCATAATACAGAGCATTGAAGGTTATTGAGCTATAGGACTACACATAGGGGTGACTGACCGTTTACAGAGGTAAAGCATTTTTGTTTGTTTTTGCTTTTTGGGTCATGCCTGGCCATTAACAGGGGTAACTCCTTGCTCTGCACTAAGGAATTTACTCCTGGATGTGATCGAGGGACCGTATGGGATGCTGGGAAAAGAACCCTCATCATCTGCGTGCAAGGCAAATGCCCTTCCTGCTGTGCTATGGCTCCAGCCCCTACAGAGGTAAAGGGTTTTGATGGAGACAATTCTGGAGAATTCAAGAAGACACTGTCTCCCAGTGGCTATACAGAAGAGATTTTCCCAGGGTCAACAGCATTATATTGCTTTCCTCTTTATCTACTAGAAAATATTAAACAATTAAATTTACTTCTTATTAATAATTGCAGATATGTGGATAAAAATAGTAAGAAATATAGATTCCAAAATTTAGTTTTCTGGACTCTGAGGGCAAGGTTGCTGGGCTTCTACCATAAATCCCATACTAAGTCTTCAGGCCGGTACAGCTTGTCCTTCATGAGGTCCTGTCTCTTAAGTCATAACAGCTAATATCAAGACTGTTCTTTCATGCTTTCTAGACTATTCCATTTCGATTCCAGGGTAGTTTTGCTATTTTCCCCAGATCCATCTCAGCCCTATGGGGCCTTCCTTTTTGGAGTGTTAGGAAGTATGGCAACTGAAGCTTGAATCAAGTAAATATGACAGGTGCCAGGAGTAGATGTATTTCAGGATATGGGCCAAATATTAGGAGCCTATCATTAATAGCCTATCTGTGGTTAAGCAAAGAACATTGCTCTATAGTAGAGTATAAAAGGGCTAATGGGAATATAGAATAGGAAGTATTCACTTCAAATACAAAGTTCAGATTCACCTAAGTCATCAAACCTCACTTGGGGAATTGTAAGCTCAAAGTAAAGGTAAAAGAGAAATTCAGGGAATTACAGATGTTACAAAAGCACTGTGGGGAGGGCGCTTCCTTACGTAAAGCATACCAGGTTCAATCACTGACCTTCCATGGAGCCAATACTACCAGAAATGATTCCTGAGCGCGGATACAGGATTAACCCTTGAGCATCGCCAACTGTAACCCAAAACAAAACTGCATACAGTGCTGGTAGCTTAGTGGTATTATCTGGGACTCCCTTATTTCACTCTTAAGTTTAAATCTTGTCTTATTCCTCACTCCCCACCAATCTTTGGCATATTGAAAGTGGACATTATGATCATGCCTTTTCAATAGTATGACCAGTTAGACCAGGGACACACGAGGTTTACTTGTCGCCTTTTCCTTCCTTGTGACTAAAACAGTCCTCTGTCTCTGTGGAGCAGGGCCTTCTGGGGTGAAGTCTGTGTTAATCTCTAGGCTGGAAGAGGAGCCCTAAAGCCGGGGAGGTGAGGTGTCTGCAGGTGAGTGTCTGAGGACCCTTCCTGGCTGGGTCCCTGGGCAGTGTGTGCATGCCCTGAGTGTGTGTGAAACATGCTACTGTGTCCTCGGGCCACTGGATCAGGCGTCTGTACTGCACTCACGCTGCCCTTCACTCCCCGGAGCTGTTCGTTATGGAGAGATCCTGTGCTTTGCTTTCTTGACTTTCTTGTCATTCTTCCTTGTCTGTCAGGTATGTCGAATAGTCCATGAGTTTCAAGACCCTGGTCCCCCCCAACTGAATAACCAGGCTGACTGTACACCTACAGGGCCGGGTACCCTTTCTGGACCCCTCTCTGTCAATATGACACCATGCTTATCTGCTTATCTTTGCCTTTGGATCATTACCATGTTTTTTTGAATAAGGTAAGGTAAAGGCCCTCCCGTTGATCATCGATTTGCTCGAGCAGGCCCAGTAACGTCTCCATTGGAGACTTTGTTGTTACTGTGTTTGGTATATCGAATACGTCATGGGGAGCTTGCCATCTGCCGTGCGGGCGAGATACTCTCAGTAGCTTGTCGGGCTATCCGAGAGGGGCGGAGGAATTGAACTCGGGTTGGCCATATTGGCTGCGTGCAAGGCAAACACCCTATCACTGTGCTATCTTTTATTTTGGGGCCTGGGGATGATCAACAGTTATTCCTGGTGTTTTTCATAAGTTGCTGTTGGCAATGCTCAAGGATCAACCCCTGTCAGCCTCATGCAAGGCAAATGCCTACCTGCTGTACTCTTGTACGCACCACAAAATGTTTTATTGTGTGTATGTTAAATTGTGGCTGTGAGCCCATAGTGAAGCTTATTAGGACCAGAACAGCAGTGCATCAGGGAGGGTGCTCGCCAACAGACGCTGCCTACCTTTGATGTCCAGCTTCCCCTGTGGTATCTCGAGCATCACTGGGTCTGATCAAAAATAAAACCCAAAAGGCTTGTTCTGGAATTGCCTTGCTCCTGCAGCAACACTTCCTTCAGATTTTCTCTTTTTGTCGGCTTGTTTGGACTGAGAACCATGTCCTCCACCTGTTTAGCCATTCAATTGCATTCCATTCAATGTTGGACTAATCCTCATTGTGCATTTTGTTTGATTTCAGAACTCAAATCACAGGTTCAGGATGTGGAATTACAGCAATTTCATTTGGGAACAAGAGTATTGCATACAAGTGTGCTGTAAGATTCTCTTGTTGAAACTAAA